ATATATTATTATATTGTTGTTATATTTTTTTTATTATTTTATTGATGCAAAAAAGGAATGAAATGCTTAATTACGCTCTTAAAGATTATTATTGAAAATAAAAAAGTTTTACTTATCAGCATTACTTACAAGTTTCGCATAGTCGCATTTTTAAAGTATCTTCAATTTGTGAGAAAATAATTAATAAATTTTTAAAATTATACTCTTAAAAACTGTTAATGGAAATAGTAAACAGTTTTTTTTTGTATAATTTATGAAAATCCAGAGTGAGATATTTAAGTTTAACTAATATTTAAAAAAAGTAATTAATTAAATGTTCACAATGGTATAAATAAGACATTGCTTTAAAAAAGAATTAAACGCGTCGCTTTTTTATTTTTTTCTACATTGCATCATATTTCAATTTAAAAAACTATAAAATTACTATAATATAAATGTATGGTTTTACATTTAAAAAAAAAATACTAAAATTTTATACTGTATGGTTCAAAACAAAGTATTACTAATAGTATATAATTACTTATCTCCAGTTTAATTTTTTAAATAATAAAAGTATTACATTGTTTTTTACTAATTACAATAGTAGTATTTTTTACTAAGAGCTATTTAATTACTTTTCATCTTGTAATATCAAGCTGCGTTTTATGAAAATTGAAAATATAGAGGAGTGTCGGGTACCCCCGCCCACTGTCAATTTCATATGTATAGAATATTTTTTCAAGTCAATGGGCCATCGGACATTAATTGTTATGTTAAAAAAAGATTATTTTCAAAGTTTCAAGTATTTATGCAGCTGGTAACATGGTAAACAATAGTTTTGAAAATATGTTGAATACAGTAGTCAAATTTTTTAAATTTCTATTTTTTTAAGTTAAATTATTCTTTTTTTGGTTTATTCTTTTTGCATTATTTAATTGGATGATAAAACAATAGGAACATACAAAACTATTACTCAATATTACATTATTACTCAAATAGCATTATTACTCAATATTATACAGAAATATAAGCAATACTCCTTAAGTGGGAGGGGCTACCCGACTCTCCCCTAACATGCAAATAATTAATATGAATTTAAATTTAGCAGCTTCATGAAGTTCAATTTCGTAAAAAATTATATTACAATTATGATATGAATCATGATTAATTAGGGAAAAGAGAATAATATGAACAGATGTGTCCCGATTTTCATTAAACCACATTGCAAAAATATTTAAAAAAATTTTAAAAATTGCTAGAGTGAAACTATCATAAAATTTCTGTTTTAGACAATTGCCTGTGTAGAACAGCAATTTATTTTACACCAAGAAAAAAAATTTTTGAAGGTAAGGAGACAATTGTCAAATAGAGAAAAATTTAACTCGAGTGAAATTCGGAACAATTTTTAACACATTGTAATCAGTTCTCCATAAAAAAAAATTTTTTTTAAATTATTGCATCCCTCAACATTAATGGCCCGTGAAAACAAAATTGATCATCCGTTCACCCACATAAAAAAATCCCCAATGAATTTCGGAATTTTTCCTCATAAAAATGTATTTTTCACTATAGGTCCATTGAATTGTCACTTGAATCGCTGAAGAATGATTCATAGAAATGTCCACCAAAGTACACCCTCATAATCATCTATTGTGTATTGGTGCCCTGTCTAGACGACAAGGGGACAACCGCATCTTACCTTGATCTTTACCCAGGTAAGATCATCCCTCACTTCACATCTGTTTGCGAAACTAGTTGGACTACCACAATCCCCACAGGTAAGTGTTTACATTTTCTTGACTCCCCTTTCATACCGTATTTGCCTAGTTATGATCAGTTAATATTATGGATTACGGTTTGAAAGACTGGTACTATAGCATATAATAACTACTGTTGTATTATATAATAACTATCTCTGTATTTTGTATCCTGTATCAATTTACTTTAGGTATGATGTGTGTTTTACATTAAATTGTGATGAAATTTAAATGATAAAATGTAATATATGAAATTATTTAAACCTGTAATTTATTAACTAAAAGACCTATATTAAGATAAATTTAATTAAAAAAAACTTTACTTTTAAATTATCTTACTTACGATAGCTGTTTTCTTTATATTTCCTTTTGTAAAAATATAAAGTAAGCTTATCAATACCTATGTTGGCATTCTATAGGGAGAATAGGAAAAACCTGGAATTTAAAAATTATGAAAAATAACATGGAATTTTAAATTTTCCCGTACAAAATAGGAAAATAAAGGGAATTTCATTTCATATTTTCGTTTTTCGGAAATGTCGACCTCTCAAAGCGCTTTTTATGCTATATTTAAAGATGATAGTTAGATATACTATACTACTTCGTTTACTATACCCTTATTTTATGCATTCAGTTAATAAAGTTTCATTTATGCAACATTTAAATACGTTGAGATGTTCTCTATAAACACATTAGCACAATGATTATGTGTTTCCCCTTAATATATTGTGTATAATATGTATAAGAAAAACGCAAGGAATTGTTTTTTTTTCTTTTTGTGACAATTCTGGATACATTTGATACCTGATTCTGACTTGTTGCTTTGACTCGAATATAAAGTAATAATATAAAGTCTAGTTTTTAACTTTGAAATGCCTGAATGCCAATAAATTCTCTTAAAACACTTAGATTCATTTAAAATTTTAACTAAAAAACAACTAAGTAAAGAAGAATGAACTCTAAGAAGCTCACAAGATATATTTCAGTCAAATATATTTTTATTATTCTTTACTAACTTGTCATGCTATAATAGACAGTAAGCATTTCCTTTAATTTCGCATCATAATTGAATTAATATTTAATTCTTCAATTCATTTCTCAAGAAGTATAACAGTTAACTTATTAATCAAAGTTTTAACAGTTTTTTTTAATTATTATAAAATACTAATACTTTAACTGATTCACTTTGTAGGGAAAAAAAAGTTTATTGTGAATAAGTGATATTTATAAACCATCAATAATATAGATTTCACACCCAAACATTTACAATTCTTTTATCAAAATAAATTTCGAAAAAAGATATTAAAGCATTGTTTATAAACCTAAGAAAATATTATAAAATTATGATCTATATATTTAGTTATTTAAACAATTAAGACATAGATAAATTGTGATAATAATTTAAAACAGTTGTGTCATAAAATTTTAGAAAAATGCCAGACTGGATAATATCGATTTAAATTGATTTAAAAACTAGTGAAAATTAATGATTTTTGAACTTTTGATTTCATCTGAATTTGATTTTTAAGTTTGAAATAGCTGTATCTGATTTTTTTTTCATTCTCAGATCCAGTAATTTTAAAATTTTGTCTCAGTGGTCTGTTCCTACTAACGCCGTAAAAATAGCTTAAATTCAGGAAACTACTGTGCTTCTATAAATATTATTAATATATTTACCTAATATTATTATTGTATGTATGTATTATATCATTTAGCGCATAGAAAGTTCAGATGCATATTTTGAAAACTTCTTCGTAAAATATCATTCACAAAGTGATATGAATTTTCTAATTAAGAAACTTTTTTTCTTGTGATAAAATAACTTTTTTCTTCCTATATCTCAAAATATTTCTAAACAATTTAAACTTATTCTTTGTTGTACCCTGCCAAAAATTCCGGATCAAATTACGGTATGAAGAGTATTACTTAGAGAGTATCATTCGCAAAATCTATTTTTACTGTAAAATATTTTATCGTAACTTTTGTTGCTATATTTATTTAACTCGAATAATTCGGTGATTTTTATGGTAATTATTACTGTAAAAATTGCGGTTTATCATGCTTTTTGTTCCGTAAAATGTTTCGGTAAAAATGGATTCCAGATAGTGCATTTTGATGTTAAAGATGGGTAAAATAAATACATATTAATTTTATACCCATATAATCAATTACTTTCATTATGTCAAGTGGAAGTAATTTCATACTTTTTTGTGCTGATTTTAATTTTTTTTTAAAAAATCGAACTTCTATTTAAAGAATTTTCCACCTAAAGAACTTTTATGGGGGGGGGGGAGATGGGGAATTTCAATAAATAGAAATCCAACTGTATATAGTTTTAAATATTTGTTGCTTCGAATAAAAAATATTAATCAACGAAATTAAATAACTTATAACATTTTAAAGCGTTCTCACAGTTGCTTGAAATTGCTGCTAATTTCTCCATAATACTTAAACAAATTTAGGATAATCTAGTTTGCTATTTAATAACAAAAAAGGATTAATATTAGATTTTGAATCTTTCCCCGTTCAGCCAGGTAATGGCCTTTTAAAATCCTAGCTGCTAATCTCATTTAGTACTTCTTGCACTTAAAGATCAAGATTAAGGACAGGGAGTCGCCTACCTGTCAAAATCTATTCAATGATTAAAAGAGATTCCAGGGGTCGGGAATTAAGGGTGAAGTTGGTCAGAACAAGTTTGTGCTTGAATAGGATAAAATGTTTAGGTATTAAACTATGAAGGAATCTTAGAGTAGTAATTTTATTACTACTTTAAGGAGCGAGAATATGCGAAAAAGAGGTGAGGTCATTTCTTTGACAGTCTGTCTTTATTAGAGTGTTAAAATACATTAGGTAAGTTTTAATTTACGAGAGTAGCTACCTTCTAGAATATAGTAAAATTTATAGTGTCTCTATGGGAACACCAACAATATCGATAATTTTTAAAGAAGCGCTTTGGTAATAACTTTTGGTAAAATTAACTACAAAATACAGTTTTATAATATGTGATAAAATATGGTAAATGAGGTAAAATTTGGTTATTCCATTATGATACTTTATAGCATGGCATAAAAACCATTTATTCAATTAAATTTTTTTTTTTTTTTTTTAAATTNGGTGATTTATCTATTTTTTTTTACGAAATGAGTCGTAATAAAAACTATAATATTGAAATTTTTAATTTCCAGTTAACCGTTACCACATGAGTGGAAAAATTACTGAATGAATGGCTACCGTATTCACCGTTTTATTCACTTGAATTTTGTTTTTTTTTATTTTACCAGAAATGTAATTACCATACAGTAGGTTAATTTTAGACACTTATTATTAATTTTATTACTTTTCTTAAATATTTTTCTTCTTGTATAAACAAGAAATTTTGTGCTAAATAAAATATTTTTTTAACACTCTTTCAATTATAATGAAAAATATTCTCGAACGCTAAGGAATTCTCTAATTCTAAAATATTCTCGAACGCTTCGAGAAATACTTAAAAAGAACATGAATTATTTTTAAAATGTAAAATGAACAGTTTTTCAATTTGGGAAAATTTGATTACGTGTTTTAAAGAGCGGCCTCCGCTGTTAAAATTGCTGTAACTAGCCACATCTCAGTAAAACAATCTCCTAATTATATGTGACACCAATTGGCCTATCTCGTCCATTGAATTAGAGTAAAAATAGATTTCAGTTGCATAATGAATAGTTATGGTAGATATCTAGAAAAAATTGCATTTAATTTATAAGAACATTATTATTTTATTAGGTATCCATGCATTATATAGCTTTACGTAGTTTTTTAGTAAGTATGCTTCTGTCTCTTTCATATGCTCTTTTTGCCATATATTATGAAACACTATATTTTCTCTTTGCTAGTTAAAATAACGTTTTGTTTAAATTTAAATAATGAAAGATCATTTACAAGGATTTTAGATTTTCTCATTCAAACTGAATTTGATTTAAAAAAGAACTGCATAACCTGATAAAAATTTAAGAAGGAAAAAACCGTAAAAAAGAAAAAAAAACTATTGATCTTCTTTTTTTTTCCCCCAAAACTCTTCAATTCCAAAAATTTAATTTCAATTTCAATTCAATCTTTAATCTCAATAATTCAATTTCAATTCAATCTTTAATTGCACATCAGCAGGTTTAGAAATTTCAAATTTCTTTGAAGCATAATAATATGCAAATGCAGTATGAACCTTAATCTAGCACCCTGCTGAATCCTCAACTTCGCACCATATTGAGGATTCAAAAAAATTTAAGCCATATGCCGATTATTGCCGAACGATCGGTACACTACAATAATGTACAGTGCATCAAGAAAAAAAACGGATTACCATGGCAAAGTACGAAATTTGAAGGAAATTGGTTGAATAGTTCCTGAGAAATCGAATTTTAAATATCTGACGTTTTTGAAATTCAATTTCTCAGGAACTATTCTCTATTTTGCACAAATTTTGTGCTTTGGCATGTAAAATTATATTCTTTAAAATTATGCAAAAATTTTAACACCTTGAAACTCAAACATTTTCCATTTCATTCAATTTCATTCAAATCCGAGTAGTTTTCATGATATTTGAAGACAAATTCAAAATTTTGTTTCATAAATAAATTTTAAACGTTTTTGAAGGTTTTAGTTACTTTAAGATTTTCAAAAATACATAGCACAAATCTATTACTTTTTGGTGCTAGTCTTGGTGTCAAAAAAGAGAAAAACATTTCTCGAAAAAAAGAAGGGCACCCCATCGCAAATTTTGACCATGCTCTACTTATCTAAATAAAAATATTTCTATTGCAATCGGTAAAAATTTCATAGCAGAATTTCTTATTCTAGATTCTGTTCGACAAAGCTACAGCCATGAAATCTCAAATATACTTGCTGTACCTCATCTATCTCTTTGTTCCTACCATTTTGAGTTCAGCCATTAAAGACGATTCTAGGCAACTTCCCTCCCATGCTAGTACAGAAAATAAACATGAAAGACATTCAAAAAGTCAACATCAAGACGAACAGCTTAGAAAGAGTAAGAATAAAAAGAATGGTCAGCAGGTCAACATTGGAAGTCGGTATCTGAAAAAACGTCCTACCAGGAGGCGCCTGGACAAATCCTCTCTTTTGGAAATACTTGGAGAAGATTATGAGGTAAACTTATATTAATATATTTTTATTTATATCTATTAGTAACATTTTTTTTAATTTTAATACATCGCTGGAACTGTATGCAAATACTTTAGCAATGATGATTATAATCATCATTGCTATATTAATTGAACTAGAGTTAGGGAAATTTTTAAAATCGATAAATTTTAAACACTTCTTGTTTCATTATAAAATAAATAAATAAAATTGTGAGAACGGATATGAACAAGTGAAAGGATATAAACAAATAAATTTGTGTAAACAAATTGTGACTGAAAAGAAAGAGCCTTTTGTACCAAAATTAACTTTTCCTTAAATTTTTAGGGTTTAGCAAAATTATCTTCAGAGAAAAAGCTTTTGTTCTTGACTAAATGTTTAATACTAGTAGGCTTCACCCGTCGCTTGTTTACTTTGCCCAAACCCCAAAGATTATTTTACAAATTTATATGGTTTGTTTTGTAAACCATGCCCTCTTAGCTCGCTGCTAAGCTAATCAGTTTGAAATGAGTTCTACAGTAAAATCTTAAGAATTTAAATCAACTACTAAAATCTTTAAGACTAATTCCCCCTTAAAAAGTTTTAAAATTTTTAATCAATAGAAAGTTATTGAAATAAAAAATTTTAAATTGAAATAAATGATCTGCACCAGAAAAATTACAAAAAACAAAACAATAATTATGCTTTTAGAAAACAATGTGTATGGCGGCACGCCTCCTACGCATTCTTTATAGTTAAGTTTTTCATAACTTTCATCAACGCTTTCTTCTGCTTTTCCAGCAGACTTATTTTTATTACACTTAAAAAGCGTAACAGCTCGACTAACACTCATCATAGCAATAACAGTAAATTAAATTATTATTATTATTAAACCTGCACAATTATAACTAAAGCATAATATGGAACACTTTATTGTTTATTGATATGAGCTTTTCACCATTCAATTCTTCCCAACTGACAACTCAGTTTGTTTCAGCCTTTCTTTGTCCACACGAGAGAGGAATTTTCATTCAGAAATTTGTAAGCATGCTTGTTTACGCTTTCGTGCCTATGATAGCTCCTAAGATTGATATTTAAATTTTTTGTTCCCTACGCGAAAACGAAATGAGGACTTTCGTGGTCACCGCGTAAGATATATATATGTATATATATAATAATAAAAATTATTTAGTAATAACAAAAGCTGAAGAAATAGAAACTTAAAAGTGCAAAAATACATTTGAATCATTTCTAAATTAATAACTAACTGTTTCATTCTTAATGCTTCATGCTTATGAAAAAATGTCTAAAATTTATTTAAAATTTTATAAAAATACTGCATTAAAAATTTTCTTGAGCTAAAATTATTTTTATTTCTTATAATACATATATTTTATGTAACAAGCAGTGTTGTGATGTCAATTTTTTCAGTCGCGAAACGTGCAAGCTCCAATCTGTAAGCTTCATCTGTAGAAATATTATTATAAACTTATGTTTGTAACTACATTTCTCCAAATTCAAAAAAAAAATAACAATAATAATCCCAATTAGTTTAAATTTATTGGACGAATTAATGCTGACATTTAAAAACAAATAACTAAAAATATAAATAAAAAGGTTATTAAAGAATACACGCGAAAGTTAATTATGGCGTGTGGTTACGATATTTCGTGCCAAATATGTGTGCATCAAAAACAGCAGCAGGAAGAAATTTTGCGATTGACAAAATCTTTATGTAACCAACTTTAAAGGAACAAAAATAATATTTTACAGAACATAATTGAAGAACTAAGCAAATTTTACAATAAATCTAAAAAACTTGAAAAAGTATCTTATGCTTTATTTATTTTACTGTCAAATACATTAATGATCAAATTTGATTACACTTATTTATTGCTACCCAATTAGAACGTATGGTGAGTTACAATACAATTTTACCATATAGTAACAGCGCATTTATAGTAAAAAAAATTTCTGACCTAATTTGATTAGTCATTCTTTTTCCCGATGTTAAAACTACTACGTTTTTGAANAAAAGCGTAACAGCTCGACTAACACTCATCATAGCAATAACAGTAAATTAAATTATTATTATTATTAAACCTGCACAATTATAACTAAAGCATAATATGGAACACTTTATTGTTTATTGATATGAGCTTTTCACCATTCAATTCTTCCCAACTGACAACTCAGTTTGTTTCAGCCTTTCTTTGTCCACACGAGAAAAGAATTTTCCTTCAGAAATTTGTAAACATGCTTGTTTACGCTTTCGTGCCTATGATAGCTCCTAAGATTGATATTTAAATTTTTTGTTCCCAACGCGAAAACGAAATGAGGACTTTCGTGGTCACCGCGTAAGATATATATATATGTATATATATAATAATAAAAATTATTTAGTAATAACAAAAGCTGAAGAAATAGAAACCTGAAAGTGCAAAAATACATTTGAATCATTTCTAAATTAGTAACTAACTGTTTCATTCTTAATGTTTCATGCTTATAAAAAAATGTCTAAAATTTATTTAAAATTTTATAAGAGTACTGCATTAAAATTTTTCTTGAGCTAAAATTATTTTTATTTCCTATAATACATATATTTTATGTAACAAGCAGTGTTGTAATGTCCATTTTTTCAGTCGCGAAACGTGTAAGCTTCAACATTCTTCCTCTGTAGAAAGATTATTATAAACTTATGTTTGTAACTACATTTCTCCAAATTAAAAAAAAAATAAAAATAATCCCAAATTCCAAAAAAATATATATATATAATCTCATTTAGTTTAAATTCATTGGACGAATTAATGCTGACATTTAAAAACAAATAACTAAAAATATAAATAGAAAAGTTATTAAAGAATACACGCGAAAGTTAATTATGGCGTGTGGTTACGATATTTCGTGCCAAATATGTTTGCATCAAAAACAGCAGCAGGAAGAAATTTTGTGATTAACAAAATCTTTACGTAACCAACTTTAAAAGAACAAAAATAATATTTTACAGAACATAATTGAAGAACTAAGCAAATTTTACAATAAATCTAAAAAACTTGAAAAAGTATCTTATGCTTTATTTATTTTACTGTCAAATACATTAATGATCAAATTTGATTACACTTATTTATTGCTACCCAATTAGAACGTATGGTGAGTTACAATACAATTTTACCATATAGTAACAGCGCATTTATAGTAAAAAAAATTTCTGACCTAATTTGATTAGTCATTCTTTTTCCCGATGTTAAAACTACTATGTTTTCGAAACATGTTTGCTTTATGCATCAGGAAATTTTATTTTCTTGTCTTAAAAACTATAGACATTCTAAAATATTTTAGTACAGTACATCCTTTTTTTGCATGAAAAGGGTTTCGTAATTATATATAATCGTGTTATATATATAATTATACATATTTCGTAATTATATATGACAATAATTAATTATATATTTATTTATCATATATTTATTTATTATATATTTATGACAATTTCTTTTGTACTGCTTGTGAAAAGTCTTAGGCAATGTACAGCGAGATTTATTTTAAAATACAAAAGCAAATAATGGATTATACCTTTGTTCAACAAAATATTTATGTCTGAACGAACGTAAGGAGCCATTCAAATATTACATAAACACAGTTCTGGAAATTTAGAACTCCCGTCACTCCGTGTCACCAAAAACATGCAAATCACAAAGCCCCTTCACACTAACATAAGAAAATCGCAATGTCCTCTTCGTTTCGGGTTTTAACTTAGACGTTTATTGTATGAAACTAACTTTAGAGTTAAATTAAAATAAAAGATGTAACTTTGCACAAAACAAACTTTGCGCCCTCATTTGTTTTATAAAATTTTCAGTAGAATATTCTTTCGATTCTCTGTAATCTCTGTAATCTTCTTCCTGAAGTATAACAAACTGAACTGAATTTTAAATGGATGAAATGTGTATAAACCATTAAAAATTTTGTTTTTTCTCTCTTTCTGCGCTTCGCTTTATACTTTTTCCTCATGTTCTGCGTATTTGATTATAATCCTGGATGCTTTTAATTTAATTGTGAAAATGTTATTAAAGTTATGTTTAAATTTCGCATTTCTCCTTTGTTATCTTTAAGGGTTCATCTATTTAAGATGCAGAATTTAATACATGCAACCTAAAAATAGATCAAATCTCTCCTTGGCAGAAAAAATAAACAAATCACAAATCGCCTCCTTTCATTAGGCGTTTATAGACTCAGGCTCAAATTGCACGGCTGCTAATAACAAAAGTAGTACATACTTTGCATTAATACAAGCCACCATTAGTTGTTAGTTGGCTCCAGTTTCAAATTTACCTGCCAATAGTGCGTATACTCCACTTTTCGCTTACTGCAATTTTTGGGACACCCGATATTTATTTATTTTTTATTCCCAATGGCAGAGAACTTGACGTAAAGGGGAAAAAAGACATGAACAAAAAAAAAGAAAACAAAAAAAAGTCATTGTCTCATTCGGTCTCGAGTCTCCCAATAACGCTCGACCAAGGAACTCCCACGAAGCGCTCTGCAGTGGTAAAAGTGATGACCATCCATGATGACGTGATCCCCACAGAAGTAACAAAAGGGGTCAGGGAGGACACCAATAGAAAATAGATGTCCAGCCAAACACCCGATATAATTAATATTAGTTTTGGGGATGCGATATTGAAATAAAATTTCATAGATTTTTATTAAAATAAATAAAATATGTCATTAGTTCCTGAAAACGATACAAAAAAAGTAATAATGTATTGGATTTCATAATTTCTAAATTTTTTTTACTACTCTTTACCTAATTTCATCTTTCCCCTTCAGCCGAATTTGATGACTGCTGATAGACCTAAGAGAACCGTCATTTCCATCCCCTCCCACGAAGTCAATGTCGACAAGCTAAACAACAGATGGTCTCAAGAAGAACTGATGAAGCAGATGAGCAAATTAAACCTGACCGAAGAACTCAGCAGTGTGGATCCCAGTCTCGTTCCTCTTGAAGACAAGATACGCCAATGGATGATGCGGAGATCTTCCTGTCCAATTCACTTCTCGTGGAAAGACTTGGGAAAGAAATACTGGCCACGATGGGTGAGAGAAGGAGTCTGCCTAAAGAGGGATGGTTATTGTTCTTTTCCAGCGGGGATGAACTGTGTACCAGGCGCCACTACCTCAGTTCAGCTTCTAAATTGGCAATGCGAGTTGAAAGAGTTTGAGCCATTGCCAAGGCATAAAAGAAGTCCGATTAAGGATTCTGATAGAGAAACTTCTGTTTTATATAAAAGACCTCCGGTGCCGCCCCTTCCCACAGAAAGAAGGCGCTTGAAAAGAAACTGTTCCTGGGTTAAAGTTCCCTTTCCTATTACCATTGACTGCTTCTGTACCTGTTGAGAAAATTGTTGAACTATTTGATACAAGAAACAAAAACTACCATTTCCGTAAAAAAAAAATCAGTTGAACTCGCAATGAGAAATGGTGTTTAGGTTAAACTATTGTTCTCTGTTACGAATTACTGTTTTTTCAACTTTTGGATGTTCATAAATTGAAATAAACATTACGCTTTGAACACTATGATCGAATCACAGTTACTATATGAGTGATAATCAGCCTAACAATAAATGTATCTGTAATTATGTCCATGCATGCCAAAGTTCTGCAACTAGTGAAAGTATCGACATAAATTTTTAAAATTGTTAGGTTTTTATAATGGAGCATATCGCAGCGATGATTTGTCTCACAAAAGAATAGCAGAGGATAAGCATCTCACAGCATTATGTATTTATGGTAATCATTGTAAAAACTGTGGATTTTTAAATTATAGTTGACATTTTTATATTTTTAGTTTGAATCTTTTTAACTCTCATAATTATTTTTGACTCTCATAATCTCACATTGGTATAAATTGTTTTTTATTGGTATTATTTGCTTCATTGGTATAATTTGTTTTATTAGCATTATTTGTTTTTTATTAGTAATATTGATTGAACTGGTTTTTAAGCTAACTTAGCTTCTTAAGAAAAAGTTAGTTAAAACAAAGGTTTTTTCCTGTAATTAAACAAACTCATAACCAAGTGATTAAGAAACTCGTGTAATTAATTTTTTATTTACGAGTGATCCTCAAAAATTTTATTAAATAAACTCCCCAGTAAAATGTTATTACTTTACTTCAAAATTTTAATTTTAACAACTATTTTAATTTTCAAAACTATTATTTTGAAACTAAATGCCAAGTATTATTTTTAATTGTTATTTAAACTATTTTGATACTTCTTTTACCGTATCTATGAATTTAATGATTTAAGTTTCTTTCTTGGGAATATGCAAACTTAATTACACATTTTTACGCAATTTATTTGTAAAATACTTACAACTAACAATATATCCTATTTTCCAAGATTGAAATCAAGAGTGAATTTTTTTCAGTTTTACTCACTGTTTATTCATATTGTTTTATACGTATTTTCTGTATATAGTTTTTAAAACATTCCAAGATGTAAATATGTAAATATTACGTACTAGATTTTTGTACATATTTTATTATTTATCTCACAACAGCATTTTCCTCTAGATTGATGTTAACTAAATGTTGCTATAAACTGAATTCTACGCATTGAGCTGGATGTGTATAATCGAAGAGATTGGCGAAAATAGTTTTTAAGTGGCATTTTTTTAAATTTAGGTATACCAGCTTTAGAAAATATACAAATGACTGAAAGCTGCTTTTTCATTCCTAATTCACAGTAAAACTCGTTTAGTTTTAATGAATTAAACAAAATCATGCTCTTTACATGCAGCTGAACATATTAATATGTTTCACTGTTCAATATGTTGCCCTTTTTCAGAATTTCACATGATACCTTTTTCAAATATGCTAAGTAGTGGCCGTAATCATAAAATAAACATGTATTAAATGTTCTGAAATATTTTCCTTTTGTTTAGTAGCTCAACATGTTGCCTCTTTTCAGCATGTCACTTGATTACCTCCTTTAATAGGCTCTTCAATTTTGCTAAATAGTAGCTTCAATGTTGAAACAAACATGTATTAAATGCCATCAAGTATTTCCATTATGTTTAATAGCTAAACATGTTGCCCTGTGTTTAATTTCTCAACATGTATTAGATCAGTCTGTTTAGACTATATGCATACAATGTATTGATAGTCTAATCTATTATTGTTAAAATTGTGTATACCAAAAAAATTATTAATAAAACTTTGTTAAAATAAATTATTTACTGTGTTAATTTTGTATTAAGTAAACAACCGTATCAACTTTTTAGCAATCCACCATATTTTTTAATAAGCTTATTCAAATAATAATTAAATATGACATTATTTTTGTGCATGCATCATCTTAAAATAATAGTAAATTTAAAATCAACGAATGATATAGATAATTGCTTAAATATATCGTTCTTTTTAAAGAATGATGTATAATTTCCGAATTAATTTGTGTTTCTCCATACGTTTTCATTTTAATGCAAAAAATAATACATAACTTTAAAAAACATTTACCAAAATTCTGAAAACAATCAAGGCTTTCATGAAAATAATGAGTAAAGAAAAAACATACATATGATGTAGAAAAAAAACGTCACCTCATCTTTCATTATCTTTAAGTTACATAATGTTATTTTGTACTGCAATTCTTATTAAATCTGATTTTTTTTGTTACAGAAAAGTCTTTATCTTCTGAAAATCTCGAAGATCGTTCAAAGCAATTATAAACCTTGATAAACGTCATCTGCTGCCAAAATGCCGTTTAAACTGTGCGAAATACCATTTGAAAGAGGGAAAAACCTCTAATAGGATAAAATAAAATATTTTTGATCAATCTATCAGAATTTTCTAAAGCATAGAAGCATTAAACTTTCGAGCTAAAGATTATTAACTAATTAGTTTAATGTTTTTTTAACTATTTTTGCTCTATTTAAATAATAGATAGATTATTTTTTATTTTTCAGAAAAAAATTAATCTCAAAAATTGCTGCTCCATTCATAAAAATTAATAATAAATGCAATACAATACAATAACAATGAAAAATTGCCGAATTTTTTTTTCCATCCTGAATCAGTTAGACTTCAAAAGAATATAACTTTAGATTTATTTTTATCGTCATAGTCGAAATAATTTTTTTTCTCCAAATAGTTTATGATTGCATTCACAAAAACTAATTCACGAGACCGGTTATAAATTACTAATGCAATAAACATTTTGGTACAGTTTTTAATATCTTATTATGAAAAGGAGAAACACTTAATCCAAAAAAAAATTTCCGTCTGTACCTTCACAACCATAATTGATTCTATTCCTTATTAGCATTTTGAATTTTAATTGCAAATTGAATTCCAGTAAAACACGCGTTAAACTGATAAATAATTCGCTAATTTTTTTGTGTTTCTCAGATGCTTATGGACAATGCTTATGGCTTCTTTTTTTTTACGCACACACTTAAAGAAAAGAAATGCCATTGTCTTCCTGGAAATAAAATCAATATTCATTGACGAAATTATTCGAAACTGAGTTTCAAAACGATATATTTATGCACGCAATATTCAAATGTCCCTTAGAGTTCAAAGTATTCAAAATATTAACATACGACTCAGCAAATAATATCTTAAATAATACGATAAAATCGCTCTGACTTAAGGGATAGAGTGTTCACCACCCAATGAAGTGAACCAGGTTCAATTCCTAGCGGTGGTTGGTATAAGAATTCTGTACTCGACAAGTACCGACTGTCGTAAAGTGTCCTCCGTGGTAGACGGATAATGTAATGTTACAATCCCCTGCCATGAGCCGCGATGGCTCAGGGGATTGAGCGTTCGCCTTCCAATGAGGCGAACCGGGATAGAATCCCAGTCGATACAAATTCCGCATGCGGCTTGCACCGACCACAGTTCTGACGTGAAATATACTCAGTGGTAGACGGATCATTGGTTAGAGTCCCCTTGCCGTCAGGCTAATCGTAGAAGGTTCTCGTGGTCTCCCTCTCCATGTAACGCCAATGCGGGTTAGCTCCATCAAATAGTCCTCCACGAAGGCAAAATTTCTCCCAATACTCGATCCGGGAGTTCCCTTTTTTTCTGGACTGGGTTCAAAATTACAAGGCTACGGAATTGAACATTAGTAGTCGTAAACCCAAAAGTTGGGTCTGCTGTTCAGCGATGGTTGTAAAATAAAATAAAAAACCCTTGCCTTCGGACTAATTGTTGGAGGGTTTCGTAATTTTTTCTCTGAATAACGCAAATGATGGTTAGTAACACAAAAGCCCTCACGAAGGCTAGTTTAGTCCAATACTTGATCCAAGAGTTCCCCTGTTTTCTGGGAGTGGTTCAGCATTACAAGGCTACGAAATTGAATATTGATAGTAGGAAACTCAAAATTGGATCGGCTGTTCAACGTTGGTTGTGAAATAAATTAACATATTATGATTGATATGTTAAGTATTATTGTAGAATACAGCTATGAAAATATTCTTATGTGTAAGTGCATTTAACATTTATTATCAATAAGTAGGGTAAACCAACCAGTGAAGGAACACTACCCAGTGATGGAACATATCATATATATTGATTAAAAATAAGAATTTGAAGGTTTTTCCTTAGATTGATTGGTAACAATAGCTTACTGTCAAACAATAGGAAGTCATCTAGCACTGTTTTGAATTACCTGGTCAAATAGAATTCCCTGGAAAAAATTTTGAATTTGTTATTATCTCTGCAACACCTTCTTTCTTTGAAAAAATTATAAGGTGAGTGTTTGTATTTATATGTTTGAAGTGGAATTAATTGCATGCAATAGTTTCATTTTTCCCACTGTGAAAAGGAGAATTCAAAATATAGTTATTGAAGTTACGTTTTATTTTTTTTAAGCATCATAGCATAATAAAGTACTGAAATAAAGGGATGTTTATTCACTGGATCACCAAATGATAAGAAACCAGTGAAGGAACGAGTGTTCCTTTACTGGGTTTTTTTCTAAGTTAATGAAAATAAAAGATAAACTTTAATTTTCTTGTACCTTTAGTGATGTTCCGCATCAAAAGTATGTTAAAAATCGAAAAACAACTTCTAACCAGTGAGGGAACAGGCATGTTCCTTTACTGGGCATAGATTTCCCAGTGAATGAACAGTATGTGTTAATATGTTGACACTTTAATTTTCAATTCATGATTACAAAAAAAAGTTAACATTTTCCAAGTGTTTATATGTTATAATTTCAAGAATATGCTTGTTTTTAAATATTTGAGTGGCTTGTAAATTCATAAAGAGCATTAAAAAATAGCCAAAATTAAGTGTTCCTTTACCGTGTGCTCATTCACTGGTAAGAGCTGTTCCTTCACTTGGTCTTCTTACTACTTGTTATTTGAACCTCCAAAACTTTAAAACAATATTATGTAAGTTCTCTACAATTTTTTTACATAATTTGCAATTAGTAACAAAT